GTTGGATCTCAGTAGCCACAGGAAGAGCGAGTTTCAAAAGTGTGAAAATAGCAGTGTGAAATCTTAGAAAGGATGACGAAAGGACGATCAGTTGGAGAAGGAGCCATACAAATTAGTAATTAGGAAGTCATCATAAAGACGGACAAGATGATTTCAGAGGTGTGAAGGGAGAAGCTAGACTGAAGAGTTAAGAGGTAGATTTTTTAAAAATAAGTGTAACAACTATAGACATCTTTTAAAGATGAAAAGTTTAACAAAACAGAAACACAGGGTGATAAAAGAAATTTTATGTGGCCATATGTAGAAGATGATTTTATTTAACCTGAATTTCCTTTTGAATCAAGTAAAGGCGAATCAAGGGGAAAGAGAGGCAAATGGCCATTCTGTACCCACAGGTCTACAGCTACGGCAAACTAGCCCCCATGTTTACCCACAGGCACTGAACGCTGGGGCGATATTCAAAGAGCTCATTTTGGTCTTTAATTTCATTTTATACTTCTTCTCCCTAATCATATCTCACTCTACATCAGCAACTCCCACTCCCTCAGTGGTCTCCCCCACATTCACATCCTGTCCTCTCTCTCCTTGCCTCTCCTCTCCAGGGCTAGATATCGAGTTCACTCACTCACCGAGAACACTATTTTGGTTTTTTTAAATACAAAAATCTATTTCCCCAGGATAACAGTCAGAAAAAATTATAACAGTTGTAATCATAATTGGACTCTTAGTGTTAAAAGAAGAGAGGCTGACTTCATAAGGAATTAGAAAACCCACCAGGACATGGGACTTTCAGAGTCAAAACCAGGGAAGTCCAGGAAAACTTGGACAAGTTGGTCACCCCCAATGGCAAGCTGTCACGATCTGAGGTCACGGGAGGAAGTTGTTACTCTCCATTTCTCTCTCATGGCGATTCTGCCTCTTCAGAAGAGTCTTTGCTGTTTTCTTGCTAGGAATAAACCAGTCTTCCATGACCCACATCCTAGGAGGAGCTAATCTGAATGACTTAGCTAATAACTTTTGCCCAACCCCTCTCCACCCCCCACACGTACACACACAGGGATCCCAGCCAGCCTAGGAGTGGGCTGCCCTTGGGTCAGGTGACAACCCCATCCAATCTGCGAGCATCTCTTTATAAAGCTAGTTGGCTAATTTCCTAAGCCCTTAACTTTCTTTTGTAAGATAATTTCAGAGCAAAATGGAGCTGGGTGTGGTAGGTACCACGTCATAGATATTGTTTGCTCACCTAGGACAGTGTATTAGTCTTCTAGGACTGCCATAACCACCTTCTGGCTTTTTCCTGTGTGCTCACATTCCTGGCATTTCTCTCTCTCTCTTATACTAAGGACACCAGTCATATTGGATTAGGGTCACCCTTACAGTCTCATTTACCTTTATTACCTCTTTTAAGGCCCTATGTCCAAATACAGTCACATTAGGGGATAGAGCTTCAAATTATGAATCTGAGGAGGACATAATTCAGTCCATAACAGTCAACATTAATCCCTGTTTGGGGGAAGAGCTGCTTCCTCACTCTCGCCTTGTGGTTCCGGCAGGGTCTGTCTATCACAGGGCTGCCCCACCTACCCTGGCCGTAAGAGTGGGCATGTGACCAAGACAGGGCCTATGATAGTACTCCATTGCTCTGACTCTAGTAACTAGTCCACAGCTGAACAGCTAAGTCAAGTTCAGCCATTAGAGTTCCCCTCTCCTGGTTTTAGCTTTTTAAAAACAGGATCTTCCCTTTTATTTTATACAACTGGAAGGATATGAATCTGGAACAGCCATATTTTTACCACATGTTTTTACTACAGGTTGAAAGCTTGTATGTCGGAGGAGAGAATTAAACTGATGTAGAAAGGAAATGGAGAAAACAATGTGGGAAGGAGAGGGTACGCGATGTTACCTAGCCCTTGATTCTAGACCTGTTGCTGCAGGAGCTAATCTGACTCCTGGTTTACACAGTTCTTCCTCTCTGAGAGCTACCCTGAGTCTTTCCAATAATTTCCCCTTTTTGATTAGGCTAAGTTCAGGAGTGATTTCTCTGACTTAACTGAATATACATGAGGGTTAACATGGTCCCCCAATTCCCACCAACCACTGCAAGGTATACTCAGGTGGGAATAAATATAATGAACATGTAGGTCTGGGCAGCTAGGCATCCAAAACAAATACAGGTGGCTTCACTGTGGTCAGGAACTCCAGGCAAATGAGCACACAGTACCCAGCAACTGTTTTGGAGGAATGAAGGCAACACCCTCTGGAGGTCAAAGGTTCAGATGTTCAGGAAGATAGAGAAGTTTAGGATACAGAAGTTTGAAAAGATACAGAAGTATACAAAGATACAGACAGACGTTTGGGAAGAATGGTGAACACGGAGAAAAAAAGACCAATATAGAGTTCTACTTGAATTAAGAAAATTAAAGTGAATTGCTTAAGAACAACTGAATGAATTGCCTTACCACATAAAATAAATCACTGGGGCTTTAGGAACTGCTTTGGGGAAATACAGATGGTCAAGATGACTCGATGTTACTGACTGTAATACCAAACTGTTTGGCAATGGTAATTGCCATCAAACATTAACAGTTGATGTCACTTAAGTACTTTTGGACACCCATTAGGGACTCAGAGAGAAGAACGCAAAAGAACCAGGAGGCTCTGACCTCAAATGTTGAAGTGTTATATAGAAGACAAGGCTTGACACACCTGAAACACAAGAGTTTAAGAGAACATAAAGGCTAGAATATATGGCATCTTACCTCAAGATTTCAGTAACATAGAAGCAACTGAAGGCTTTTGCACCTCTACTTATGACTTTAGAGGATTCCGTTTCCTCAATTGGACCAGCCTAAAAGGGAAAATATAAAACCCTGAGTATTACCAACAGCACTTTTTTGCCCAATGAAACTCAATATATCCAAGCCAGAAACATAGAGAATAAAATTAATTTTGGCCAATTGGTAAGCACTAGAGGGCTTTAGACATCATCTGTATCCCCCCAGGCACTCTAACATGAAGTTGAATACAAAGAGAACATCCCAGAATGTTGAATTACCTTTTACCCACACAGTGTGGACTTGAAATCGCATGGATAAAAATGACAGCAAATAGAGCAACGGGAGAATAAAATATTACAATGTTGTGCTTTATTAAAAAATGTTAGAAGAGAGATGTTTGCTTTAAATTTCATAAATAATACTTCCTTAAGCTTTTAATTGTTCATATAATACTTGGAATCTAAAGGCGAAAATAAAATTAGGATAACATAAATAATTCGCTAACAAAGTAAACACAACCACAATCGAATGTCTGAATGAACAGAAGTTAAATGAAATGATTCCAGGGGCTATTTTTATTATTCCCATGTCTTTAGAGAAGGAGGAAACTTCAGATTTTCCTGCAATGCAAGTTTCAATTCTCTGCATCTTTATACAATTGCAATTTTTTAAAAGATAGAGCTTTATCAGAAAAAAAAAAAAAAAGCAGTCCTAATACAATCCAGGAATATTTTCGAGGTCAAAACTTACTTTCACATACATGGAGTGAAAAAATTTAACTTAACTGAAATGCATCAAAGCATGCTCATTATTTTATATACCCATGCACATTTTGGACGTTCCACATTACTCTTCCTGGGCATCCAGGTGGGTTCTAAGGAAAACTCTAATGGATTACGTTTCATCTACACAGCTAAAAGAAGGAGAATTGCACTCTCCTAACTTGGTGGTGTTTTTTTACTCAAATTTGAGATTAAAGAGGTTTAAGTTCTTGCAATCACAGCTCTTTAGATCACATCAATGATTCTTCACAGACTTACCTTCACTAGAAATTGTACAACTGAAGAGATGAGAGAACAATGATATCCTCTTTAATTAGAGCTTTTGTGGATCCATTCTGTGGATATTATAGACATCCTTCAACTTGATTCTGACACATTTAAGGCAACTGAGGAAAAAAAGGTGAACGGATCCCCTAACAACTTTAGCTATGCCTCTCATTAATTACTATTTTCAAGGGGCCATAGAACTTCCTGTGGTTAATGGTTAACACCATCTGGTGGCCTGCAGGACAAGTGGCAAACGTAGACTATTAGGGCTCAAGGAGTCTTGAGAGGCCACTTACATCCATCTCTCTGCCTTTAGGCAGAAGTGGGGAAATATGAGATGCTATCAAATTTTTGAAGACTTTCAAGAAAGTAGATTCTAAGACATAAAAACAGTAACTCCAGAAACACTTCAGTGTCTAGCAACTCACATCATCAACTCTTACTGTCATTGTCAAGATATTTTAAATCTGTGAGCCTGGAAAATAGATGCATGACACGACAACTAATCTCTGGATGTCAGCACGCCTTGCCAATTGTGTGACTCCCCAGAGAATATACACAACTCATATCTGCACTGTAAAAAAAGAAGTGCTCAAAACCCTCACATTTCTAGAGGGGTTCTAAGCCAGAATGACCTCCATTCTCTTGAGAATAAAATATTGATTTCAGGAGAGTGAAACCACCTGTCCCATTTCTATTTACCAGGACTAGTCAAGGTTTGAGATTTTCAAATTGTATTGTTCTCTTTGTTTCTTCTCTTTGAAATTTGTTTTTACATCGGAAACATCAATGTGAACATGTGCTTTAAGGACTTGAAAAGAAACACACCCTTTAAATGCTAACTGTGTCTGTAATTATTTAGCACCTGCTCAAATAAAGGCAAGAATTGCTCCAAACAAAGAGTGTTGCTTATTTTTGTTGATCATAGGATCCTGAAGAAGAAGGTGGGATTTTGGACGGGAGAGGAAATAAAGCCCTGAGAGTATGACAAGGAGAAACTAGGTTAAACTATGGTAGTTGCAAATCAAAAATATCACAAGCCAACGACTGTATTCTTTGTTTTTCTTTGATCACATCAAATCTCAATTCATATCACAAATTATATCACACTGTGGAGTTCGTTGCTCTATCAATCCCAGTTCATACCTGAGAGCCCTGGGTGACATCATGTTCTTAACAAGATGTGCCTTGAAGAATAAATTGAGGAAACAGAACGTAAGATGGTTACAGACCTACAAGTCAGGATATAAAAAGATCTGTGGCTATTCCAAAACAGATGTTTATGGTGAAAAGAAGCTGCCTGAGAATTTCCATGGAGAGAATAGCAGAAAGAAAAGAAGTAGAAGGAGAAAGTGGAAACATTTAAGAAGACATATAAAGAAGAATGGAAATAAAAGCAAAGGGAGAAGACGGCAGCATCAATTTGTGTGCGGTGAGATAGAAATGTGACTTCCAGGGAAGACGAATGCACGTGTGTCTATATGTAGGTGTGTTGTGTGTGCGCGCATGTACAGAGTATGAGGAAAAGAGCTTGGGATCTGAAATCTGGATTCAAAACACCTGTATTTTGAACCCAGACTTAGCCTTCTCTGGTGACATGACCATAGGTACATGTGTTAGTTTGCTAGGGCTACCAAAATAAAGCACCACAGACTGGTGGTGCTAGCTAAACCAACAGAAATTTATTTTCTCACCACCTCTGGAGGCTAGAGGTCCAAGATCAAAGCGTTATCAGAGTTGGTTTCTTTCGAGGCCTTGTAGATGACCATTATTCTTCTCCCTGTGTCTTCACATGGTTTTCTCTCTGCACCTGTTTGTGTCCTAATTTCCTTTTATAAGGACACCAGTCATATTGGACTAGAACCTACCCTAATGACTTCATCTTCATTTAATTATCTCATTAAAGGCCTGATCTCCAAATACAGTCACATTGTGAGGTACTGAGGGTTAGGACTTCAACATAACGTTATGTAACCTTTTCAAGGTCCTTTTTTTTTTAAAAAAAAAGAGAGGATTATAATAAGAAGTAACTCAAAATGCTGTTGTAATGACTAAATGAAATAATACATTTTAAAAGTTAAATGTTCAACAGCAGTAAAATGGCTAATTACATAATGTTCAAAAAACTGAATATTATGCAAAAAATTTTAATCACATAAGAAAATACCTCTAATATTAAGTACTTAAAATGCACAATTCTTCTTAATATGTGTGTGAACATATTTAAATATATTTAGTTTGTAACAAAAAATATTTATTGAAAGGGGCTTCCCTGGTGGCGCAGTGGTTGAGAGTCCGCCTGCCGATGCAGGGGACGCGGGTTCGTGCCCCGGTCTGGGGGGATCCCGCATGCCGCGGAGCGGCTGGGCCCGTGGGCCATGGCCGCTGAGCCTGCGCGTCCGGAGCCTGTGCTCCGCAGCGGGAGAGGCCACAACAGTGAGAGGCCCGTGTACTGCCAAAAAAAAAAAAAAAAAATTTTATTGAAGGACAACACAATAAGATATTAATGGCTAAGTGTGGGTGGAGAAATTATTCAGAGATGATCTTTGTTCTTCCTGTATTCATCTATATTTTCTAAGTCATCTACAATGTGCATGCATTTGTTTTATTTTATTTTGCATCAGGATAATACTCATCTTTAATTTTTTTTTTTTTTTTTTTTTTGCAGTACGCGGGCCTCTCACTGTTGTGACCTCTCCCGCTGCGGAGCACAGGCTCCGGACGCGCAGGCTCAGCGGCCATGGCTCACGGGCTCAGCCGCTCCGCGGCATGTGGGATCCTCCCGGACCAGGGCACGAACCCACGTCCCCTGCATCGGCAGGCGGACTCTCAACCACTGCACCACGAGGGAAGCCCTCATCTTTAATTTTAAAAGTTAAGTATACTATCAGACTCCAGTCCTCCTCATTCTCAACTCCTACTACATGAGTGACTGCTTTTGACTCTTCTGCCTGTGTCTTCTGATAGATATTTATCTCCATGTTTCTAACACAGGTTCAAACTTTTTTTCTTGATATTCACATTTTTTTTTCTATTGACTGTCTACTCTGGGCAATGAGGAATTAGGCCTCTTACACTTACAGCCCCTAATCTTCCAGACATTGTCTATCTCCTAGCATCCTAATCTAGTTTTATTACATTGTTATTAATTAAATAGATATTCAGTGTTCACATTTTATGACAAATAAAAACTCCTTTCTCAGTTCTAAAAGTTTGTTGACATCTGTTAGCAATTGTCTTCTCCTCTCCCCAAAACCAGCTTTTTAAATGGAAAAGGAAAAAATTGTATTTTAATTACAACCAGTCTTGAAAAAATAAACATGAGGATGATTTATCATATAATTTACTGACAAACGTAAATATATACATATGATAGTGTTAATATACACATCTATGCTTAAATCTTGGCTTTGCCACTTACTAGCTGTATGGCTTTGGAAAAGATACTTAACTTTTCTGATGCTCAGTTTTTCTCATTTGATAAATAATAATAATACTGCCTGTCTTGCATGGTTGTAGTTTGAAATGAAAATGATGTGTATAAAATGACAATAATGTATTTAGAATGTACTAATGGCTCAAACCAGGAAATCAGTATATATCAATAGTTGATTTTATTAACATAAATATCAGTTATAATCTTAAGTTACTTTGTATAAATATATGATATAAAAATCTGAGACTACCATGTTTCAAGTCAAACAGTGCAAAAGGAGATCAGGAAACTACTAAGAAATTTTTTTGCCTATTTCCTGGTGGAGATATGACTTAATTAGAGTGAAACTGGCCATTTTATTTCAAAGTGTAGGTAATTTGGAGGTATAAATAGCTAGCACTGCCCCTAGTATAGTCCAGATGGTCTTATCAGATCTTATCAAGTTTCTTGTACATTAAGAAACTGAGTTTAATGAGCCAACAACACCCTAAAACAGGCTTGCAATAAACTCAACAAACGTACTGGCAGCCCTCCAAGTGTGTGAAAAACAATCTCCTCCCCTCCTGTGACAAAGAAGGGGATCTTG